GCTCGCAATAAAGTTGGAGGAATTGAAATGGTTTGGCATAGGTATCTTCTGCTTTGCATCACACAAGGAGTGAAGAGAGAAGGGGGAATCTCTCTGCCTTGATTCAGCTCACGCAGAACATCTTTGAGAAGAGCTGCTATCAGTGTCTGGGCAAAGATGAACTAGTCATTGCCAGAAGGATCAGGGAGCAGCTAACACCTTGACGCTATCCTCCCCAAATCCATTTTGCTGTACTCTTTGCTGCTTTGTGAGTTTCTAATCATGTTTCTCAGTGGTTAACCAAGTTTGCCATTGAATGAAGGCTTAGTTGGCACCTCAGGCTGAAATTAGGAGCACAAGCCTGAGTTGCACAGGCTTTTGGGTGAACCCAGGCACATCAGTGAGGGACAGAGTCTACAAGAGTTCAGGCTTTGAAAGATGAAAAAGTAGTACCAACTCCTCCTGGTTTCACACAATGAAAGCACAGTGCAATGGAGAGCAAATGAGACAGCAGAGCAGCAAGATTCCAGGCTGTAGCAAGTGAGGGTCCACTCAGCTACAACAGCAGTGGGCACAGAAATAAGAGAAAGAAGCTGCTTACCTTCAGAAGGCCTGTAAAGTCCTCAAGTATGTAGATAGCCCCAGGTGAGACAACCCCATCTCCACTGCCAACTCTTCAACGAAGTCTGGGAAAGGGTGGATCCTGGATCCGGCCCTTACAGTCACTCAGGTACATTGCATGCACCTGAACTCCCCTAGACTGGCCCTGCTTTCCCACCAGGTGCTCAATCACTGCTTCAAGCTGTGACTTAGCATTTCCACTACAGAGAGCCCTTGAAACTGCCAATTAGTTCTTATGCTCAGTTTCGGACTCCATTAACTGGTCCAAGGCTCTGCATCTTGGTCCTTTACCTATACTGCAGAGAGAAAATTATTTCTCTATCCTGAGCTCTCGTGGAGAAGGTGAGGAACTTCTGACAGTGGTTGTATGAGTGCCTCAGCTAAATAGGAAAATTAATTACATACATTGAAATTCCGAAAGAAAAAAGAAAATCAGCAAATATATCTCACATTCTTTTTTGTTACTGCAATTGTAGATGTTACTTGTAAATAAAGATTATTCATCACCAAGGGATGAATCACCAATTTTTATTAGGTTCATGGTGTTATTAAAAAAAGATAAAAGGAAGAAATAAGAACATCCTCCACCATTTTTCCTCTAGCAAGGAGAGAACAAAGCAGGCAAAAAGCACGGATGAGGTGGGCATTCCCACACCATTAGATAAACTCTCAGCCGTGCTGTGCGCAGGGGATTAGGAAAGACAGCTGCCAGAAATCGGCCTTGCTATATTTCCCTGGAGGCATGGGGAGATTGAGGGAAATCACACTCATTCCATAACATGTGATTAAGAAATCAGGGCATATATATTTTTTTCATTTTAGGGATGTTTTGCTCTGGACAGGACCACCTGAAGGCCAGAGGAATGGGGAGAAATCATCCCCACTGATACTTCTGAAGCACGGGCATTGTTTGCTCTACAGCATTATTACCTCAGCAAAAATGCTCTTATGCTCACAATTTTGGGAAAAAGACTATTATAGAAATAAGTATACATTTTACTGCACCATGCTGGCCCTCCGGAAGGACTTTCCTCCCAGTTCCAATTGGAAGTAAGATTAGGTCAGGTGCACAAAATATCACTTGAAGGCTTTTCTCTAAGAGAATGCACGAGCACATCTTCAGCAGGTGCTGGGAGAAGCAAGTCAAGAAGCAGCAGTATCGTTTGTTTCCACCTGAGGATAAAAAGAAATACACTGCCTTACCTTAGATAGATCAGATTCGCAGCAGCCAAGCAAGAGGCAGTCAGACATCTCCCATCACTTTGCTGCTGTTTCCCACATCTGTTGTAGTGCAGCCTTACACCATGCAAAAGGTCGATGCACCAACACAATGCAGCCTGGGGCAGGACTGGTGTTCCTCGTGCTGTGCAGGTTACATACATTTGTTTCCTTCTCTGACTTCTCCTTTCACAATAGGCACTGCAATTTGTGCTTTGGCTCTCTTCCTAATGACTATATTATTAGCTCTATTTTCATCTGCTCTAAGCTGTTTGTTTTGCATAGTTATTTTGGCTGCTCTGCCTGTCACAAATTGAATAGCTGAGCCAGAGGAAGCCCATGGCTCTGTCCGGCCTTCATCACTTTCACCCCACAAGCACTCCCTGCCCACACCAGCCTCACAGCCACTGTCCTGCTGCACTTCCCACCCTACAGCAGCACAGCGAGGAGCTGGGTGGCCATATGGCCTGGGGCAGCGGGGCTGCCTGAGTCTCCATTTATAAACCTAGCTTGCTCTTCTGAAGCTGCAGAAGGTGGTTAATATGTTATGTGTCATTTTATGGGCTATTCCAGTCTTAATTACAAAGTCTGACATGGTGCACAGAAGCTGTCCTATCAAATGTGCTCCCTGCGGGAGCAGCAGGCTTTGTCTGTCACTCAAAGTATTTTTCCATCGGAATGCAGGACATTTGAACAAAGCAGCTGATGCTCTGCACTGCTCAAGGTGGCTCGTCCTGCTGCTTGTCATCACCATCCCCTCAGCAACATGCCAGCAGTCTTGGTTTTTGGTACAAATAATGGCAATGTCAATTGCAGAGGAGTGGGAGAAGATCTTGAGGCCCTTAATGGGTCTGTGGAGGGGAAGGTTCTGCATGATTTGTTTTCTCTAGCTCCCATGTAAGCTTCAGACCACCTCTCCAGGTCTTTCAACATAACAAGTTGGTACAAGAGAGTGTAAGCTAAAAAGAAATTTTCCAGCACTTTTACCCCAACTTTCATCCCTGTGTCCAAGCACGTATGGAAGCTGCTTGCTGTTTTTAGTCTCTAATGACACCAAATCGGCTGGAAGCATTTGCTGGCTTCGACATCATTTGTAGAGGATGTCCAAGAGAATGACAGGAAGCAAGAGAGCTTCCATTAGCCTTAAAAGCCTCATCAAAGATAAGAAAAATCTTACAAACCACTCTCCACTCCAATAAACATATTAATAACCCCGTTCTCAATCATTTTTTATGTCTCTGTGCAAGGCTACCAGTAAGATCTTGATCTCTGTTCCACTCTTCCTTTGTGCAGCCACACAAATATGTACGTTTTGGACTGCAAGCTCTGGACCAGCTGTTGCTAATGGGATGGGAATATCCAAGGGGCAGAAATCACAGCAGGCAATTCCCTTTTCTATGGGCACTGGCACATAGCTGCAGACACTGCGTGTGGTACCTTAGTCAAAATGCAGGGTATGAGACCCAATATCTGGGTGGGAAGGTGCTCCCCAGGGAAATACAGCTCCATCCATACCGATGCTTGTGCCAGGCTCCTGCACTGCTCAGTCAATGAGAACGTGCCTGCTGATTTTGATGGGCTGTGTGCCACGTGCCAAGCTTAATGCTGCATGGCACGGCATGCCCTTATTCTGCCCTTGTTTAGAGTGCTGTGTGTTCTGCTAGCTGGAGTTTGGGGGGTGGAGGGGAAACACAAGAAAAAAGTTATTGTTTATGCCTTGAAAAACCCAGAACTGAGCAAAGTTGTAACAGCCCTGCCTGCCGCTCGGCACAAATCAGAAGGCTGCTTGCTTTCAAGTAGTGCAGGTTCGCCCCAGGACTCCAGTTAAGTGCAAGCAAGGCAGGGCTGGTAATGCACAATTTAATCAGTGAATTTGTAGATCTCAAAAGGCGTGCTTAATTTAATATTGTTTCTAATGGCTATTGTCTTCATGCTTGCCTGTTTCCCGGGTGTTTTTCTCTTTTGTAATTACTCGAATGGGCATTTCCAGGTGCATTGCATATATTAGCAAGCAATTTCATTTTACTAATGAGTGAGAAGCTTTAAGTGTTTATTTCTTCGTTGCCCTAATACTTACCTTATTAAAGTTCCTTATTTTTCTAACGGAGAAAAATGAACATTTCCCACTCATTTCTGCCTCGCTTTTTTCTTCTCCCTTATGCTGCCCTTGAAAGGAGAGTTAAATTACTTATTGGCTGGGGTTAGACCAGATTGAACAACAGGGAAGAGCAACATTGAGGGGGCTGCTTGGCATGCTTTCCATAAGCCCTCAGTGCCAGCCCTCCCCTGCTAAGCTGCCCAACAAGGCACTGCTTGAATTGAAACCAACCTCTGCTGCCAGGACCTCAGGGCTGTTTTAAGCTCTCTTGGGGTAGCCAAGGAGCCCAGGTCTGCACCCCATTTCCATCCCTTAGCTTTCATGTGCATGTTTTGCCCTTCCTATGGATCTCCCATCCCGCTCCCAAGCAGCATTTATAATACATGCACCATATCCCTTTACCACATACTAGCCTCATTTTCAGATGAGTTGTTTATTAGCGTTATTACAAACAGGGCTCTTCATCTTCTATTAAGCGGTGCTGCAGCCACCACGATCCCTCATGAAGCCTGTAAGGAAGCACTTGTTTCACTAAATTACCCTGCAAATGTCAAACTTGCTCTGTATTATTAGCTGTACGTCTTACATCCTCTTTATTAGGATTTTGTGTCTTGAGGGTGCCCTGTGGCGTATAGATTTTTTAAACTACAAACCAGTGTCATTTCACTGTTTAAAGGAACATTTAATTAAACTGGATTCATTACTTGCATGGGGCAAGTTAAATGAAAACTAAATAGATGGCATATGATTACATGTTATTAAGACGAGTGACTGCTCCAGAGACCAAACTCTTTTAACACAACATTAAGCGGAGCTCATTCCATATGCACAGGTTAGCTCTGCCCTGCGAGGCGAACATATTTCGAGATCAGCAGAATGGTTATGGGCACTGAACAGCTTTTAACAAAATGCGTGTTTCGGGGAGGAACACTTTTCTGAGCTAGACTTCAGTGTGCTAATGGCTGAGATCAGTGTGTCCCACTGATTCCAGGTAACCTTTTTAAAATTAGCATTTTTATAATATCAGATGGAGGTAAATGATAAGATTGGCTTTATTTATTATCTCACTAGCTATAGAGTAGCAAAGGGCCACAATGAGTATAAAAATAAAATCAGAAGCATTTTTTAAGCGTCAGTCATTTGGGCACATCATAAATTTTAATGCTTTCTAGGAAAGTAAAAGAGGAATAGCAATTAAAACTCTGTTACACAATTTTCGATTCCCTACTCTTTTTGTGCTGGTACAGCCAGGAACTTGCTGATGTGTTTAAAAGAGCACTCAGCAATTTTGGGGGGATCTTAAACTGATCTCCGAATTCTCACTGCAGTGATGTCCTTCTCCATCCCCAGTGTTCTGTGTAGCTGTGAGCCCCCAAAGCCTTCAGCAGTGATGTGGCACGTGGTGGGCAAAAGCTGCAGTTTCGGATATGAATCACAGCATTCTCACTGTACTTTTTCTGCTGCCCTGAGGTTGGGATTGCTTTCAGTGTTTTTGCCTTTCTTTTGGAGCAAGGGTGAGGGTTTGGATGAGCATCGTTTTATGGCACTGGCTGGGTTGCAAATGGTCCAACAGATCAAAATACATAGAGACTAGTGGGCAAAATTGGTGGTATGTGGATGGTTGGACTAGACGATCTTAGAAGTCTTTTCCAACCTTAATGATTCTATGATTCTATTCTGTGACACTTCTACCCCTTCCCTCTGGCCCAGGCCACTGATCTACAACCCTGGACCTCTTCCTCTGAAGCAGAGGTACATGTCCTAGATAAAAAACTCAAACACCATTCATCTACAGCCATATATAGATGAGAAACTGAGCTGTAGCACCTCTTATTTTAACTAAAAAGCAAACTGAAAAAATCCCACAGTTTTGGAGCAAGTTTGCTTTCCAAATGGAATTGTAATCATCCAGAGGTTGAGCTTAACCAGCAATAACTCCTGGGCTTATTTTGATAGCACAGGCAACCCTTGGGGCACATCAACATGGCTTGGAGGTGAGCTGTAGCCAACACGGTAATGAGAAGGGAAGTAATTAGCAGGGCTGGTGCAGGCAGATGGGAGATGAGAAAGCTGTGTTTGCTGTGAGGGAGCCTTTTATATATGTTGGCCTGGGATCTACAGCAATGTGTGATGAATGACCCTACATGTCCATAAGCTATTTGAACAGGAAACCACAGCATCTGTGTCCCTTTCCTGGCTACAGGGAGGTTGTACCCTCTCTATAAATCATGCCAGAATTAGGTTTTCCTAGGTAATTTGCACTACCCTCCTCTGTCATGTGGGCCAGCTCCCCAATGGTTTACATCATTTGCCCAGCTCAGGAGGTTTACCTGCAAGACAACAAATCCCAAACTTCCTTAGTCAAATCTGGATCGAGTCCTTACATTTCTCTTCCATAAGTAATGTTCTTTCCTTCACATAAACATAAATAAATAAAATCCTGTGCTATTTTTACTACAGGTGCATCAAAAAACCACCAACCAAGAGGACCCAATTGTGCTAGGCACTATAAAAACAAACAGTAATCCCGGGAGAGCTTTTAAAGTCAGGAACTGATAGCTTAGTTCTCCTATGAAGACCAAGCAATGTGAATCTTTAATATATATTTCTATGCAGAGCAGAGATGGCTGTTCTGCTTTCATTCCTTTTTGTTCCTGATAGCAAGCAGAAAGTGCCTAACACAAAAGCTTGAGTGTGACTTTGTAACTTGAATCCCCAAATTTATGTGCAAATTCATCCAGGCCCAGCTACTGACTCCCATGCTGCAATTTCCTTCTGAACCAGGAAAATGCAGAGGCAGGCAATGCTCATTATTTAAAACCCAGCTCCACAGTGCAGAGATGTCTGCGGCAGGCTTCCTAGTTAGAGAATAGCAATCCCAAACCCTTAACATCAAAGCACATTAATGACTTCCTGGTACTGCATGGGACTCACAGACGTGCCCAAAACAATCATTTTTAGAGCAGTTTGACTCCTGAGCTCAGCTTGGTACGTTTTGAAGCAGTTTGTTCTAAGCAAGTCATGTTCACTATCCCAGCCTGACACAAAGCCTGATGGAAAAATCTGTGATCGATTATAGCAGCAGGACAAAGAGATATGATAGGGAAGCAATGCAGAGGAACAGATATCCATCACTGGTTTGCAACGAGCCCAAAGACCATAGCTGTGGTGTTACAGAATTTGCAGGCAGCATAGCATATCTCTTTGTGTAGGTAAACACTCTGGGCTGCAGACAGTTTGTCTTACAGACAGACTGATTTGGTATGAAAAGTGGATTTTGAAGCATGGATTCTGTTGGAAGGGAACAAAATAAACCACTGTTTTTTTACCTTGAAAATGGGGTAGCCCGTAATGAGTGTTTGTGTCTGTTTCACAGTTGCTTATTGCAGTTATTTTTAAGCTTCAACAGTTTCTTTTATAACTACCACTCTGAAATGATTGAGTATGGAGTACACACTGGAGAAAAATTTGTATTGGCTATGAATTAACAGAGATGATTAACAAACTCTTTAATGTGGAGTTTGCCTTTTTCTTGTTGCTGGACAAGATCAGACTTCAAAGCAAATTAAAAATGTGAGGCTGAATGCTGATTGCAATGTGGGCAACAGAAATCTCCCTGTCAGCCTCAATAAAACCAGGTGTAAGCTTACAGTGTTAGTTCAGTCAATTCAATTCTCATGTCTTTCTGTCTTTATCTAATCTAATATATAGTCACGAGATAAATTACGGGAGCGTATGATAAATTGCATTGCTATTCATTGCTGGCAAGATCACCTATACTACAGCCACTAATTCATCTCCGCCAGGATCCACAGTAATGTACCTGATCCTCAAAATAGCCTCCCAAAATGTTGTTTTCTGTAAGAAAACAAAGAAATTAATTATGACGGCAAATATTCTGTTTATCCTCACCAAAAGAAATATCTCATTGACACCTCTGCAAAGTCACTCTGTTATAAAATATCAATACCTACTTGTAGCATTAAGATACTGGGGCCCGGTATTCTATTTGTACTGGAAAGTAATGCTATGAGATTTATGAATTTCAAATTGGGAATGACAACATCAAAGGATGATATGGTTTAGGCTTAAGGCAAACAAAGAGTCATTAATTGGCTGTTTGTTTATTGGTTGTGAGGCTGTTTTTGTTTATTGTTTGTGGGGTTTGGGGTTTGGCTTGGTTTGATTTTTGGTGTAGGGTCTTTTTTGGCTTCAGGCCCAAACATACAAAACAAGCAGAATATATAAAACAGAGTAAGAAATCCGTAACATGCCATGGTCATTTTTCCAGTGCTTATTTAGAGCAGTTCACTGCTTTCGAATAACATCACCATTCTGAGTCACACCAGGACCACCCTGAGTCCATACATCCGTGCATCTTATCCTCATTCACCTGGGAGTGAAAGGAGGAATGAAAGAAAAGGAGAGAAGATACCCTCACACCCATCAGATCCAGTTCCACCTGTCATACAGACTATAGTGGATAGCAGAGGCCATTGGTGAAGTGCTTTTGAGGTGCAAGGAAACTCTAAATACTTGGGGAGTGCAAGGTAATGAAGGCTGACTTCATGTGTTGTAGAAGAGCCACTCGTCATCACTATTGTGATGGAGTACACAAGTAGGACTGCAGCATCAAAGCTGGTCCCAAGCACTCTTTCCTATCACTAGTCCATGTTGTGGAATGTGCTGGGTCAGTGATGGGCACCAGGACTCATCTTCAGCCACTATTGGACCCAAACCACATCCCACCACTTCTAAGAATGAGGAAAGCATCAATCTGGCAGTAATGTTGGCCAGAGGAGATGTGGTGGTAATGCCCACACCAGTGCAGTGCCAGCTCCAGTGTTTGCTTTCTGCTTCTCCGTGTATTTGCTTCCATTGGTGTCAGCCACTGTAAATCTCTGTGAAATGGTGCTGAAATGCAGTCAACAGCTGCTGAATCTCAACCAGGAGATTGCTGCACCTCAGCAGTTTGCATATCAAGATTTAAAACAATTAGGGACATTTTGACATGGAAGATACTTCGGATGTGAAAAGATGTGAATATGATCACCATATTCACAGCAAAATCAATTTTCAGTTCCATGAAAACACAAGCAGTACTTCAAGACAGGACATGTATTGAAGGATGAAGAGAAAACCCTGCCTTGCTGGTGGGAGGAAAGTTTTCCAGGTCATTTTAGGGATGTGAAGGCTTCACCCTACTGTATTTAGAAGTCATTGAAGCATAATGCTTACGTCCAGCTAATTAGATACATTGCTATAGGCAGCAGAGAAATATCATAGGCAGATGCATTCAGTTAGCCAGATCTCCCTTGGTGTAACGAGCTGAAGTCAATTACGGAGTTAAATTGGGAAAGGTTTGACCCGATGTCATTTATATCTCCAGTCATAATTAACACTTAAAGTTCAACTCTGTGGCAATTTTCTTTTAATAACACTTAAAGCATACATAAAGCTCAAAGAATTGTATAGACATGATGGAGGATGACTTGAGTGGATGCCAGGATTTCAACTCATAATTAATCCTCAAAACACCTTTGCAAGGCAGGCAACATCATTCCTTTTCAGTTTCTCCTTTGAAAAGAACCAAGACTTGCCCATTGCATCCCCAAAGTCCTGGAGATGAGGTCTGAGGCTTTTCAGTTGTGAAAATCAGTGAGCTCCCATCTTTTTTGCCATGTTATATTTTAAATTCTAAGATTATGGACAAATTACTTGTCAAATGGCCTGGTTTTTTTTTTTTCCAATTAGAAGCTAAGCAAATAGAGAAAAAAAAATCTTCCACAACCACGGAGTTTGCTTCTCAGTCTTTCATGTGGATGAAGTAGGAATGGTGCTGGGAAAAGAAACGTGCTCTCAGGCTGAGAACTTGTAAGCTGAGTTTCATCTCGTTGCAGATTTTTATGGTCAAGATATAACTCCCTGAAAAGCAGGGCTTTAAAATGGAAGTGCTGACAAAACTTTTAAACTACAACAGTGGAAATGGCGCCGCAATAATTTATAATCTACAGGCAGCTCTTGGATTTATTATCGCAATGACAAATGCACTGTCATTGTTAATAGGATATTTCCCAGCAAGGACTTCTTGTTATGCAAGCCAGGTTCACTATGTCATGCAGCATGATAGCAATAAAGTCTACAAGAATTTGTAATGAACTTCAATTACTAATAGATTATGGTTAATGGGAAATATGTGCAGTAAAGATATGGGTTTTTATATGCGCCTTCTGGTACTCTACAAGGCAATGATTTATGCTACAATTTATGTTAACATTCTCCAGTTCGAAAAAAGCTTAAATTGGTGGAAAGCCACTCCATCCATAACAAATATTTAAGATAATTTTGCACATCATGTAAATGAAGATGTAAAATTAGATATTAATCCATTTCATTTTAGCATTTGTATTTTTATTAAAAATGAAGACTTTGCCCTACTGTGTAATGACATTAAAAATCCTATCATGGGCTACAAGCATGAATTACACTGATGTAGAAATGGCGACAGCAACTGAGCTGTAAGTACATTTGTTCAATTTGCTGTTGTAATTAACAGAGCAGCGAGAATATTTTCCTAGGTATGATTTAAAGGCACAGACCTGAAGCTGCTCGCACAGATGTATGTGATGCAGGAAGGATGTACCTGAGAAGACCAGGATCCTTACTGATGTGTCTTTAACACGAGCTGCCTGAAGCCTTTTGTGTTTCAGCCTGCTTTATGACAGTGTAAGGCCATTGCTCTTAGCAAACCTGTGCAAAAAGCATATAATTACACCTTATAGGTATAAATGCAGCTTGCAGGCATGTGAGCAAGGCAGACCTGGCCCACTGGCCCCCAAGGGTTTGCAAAGAGTGAAGTCTGGAAACGTGCCTTTAGAAGAGAAGGCTGCTGGCTGAGATAAGGTGGGCTTTTTGAGAGGAAAGCAGATAATTCCATGTGGAGAGCATGCAAGTAAGATCAAAACTGCCACACAAAACCCCAGTCTGTGTTGGGGTCAGACTCCCCAGGCCTGCTCTGGAACAGCAGCATCGTGCCGTGCAATTCAGGGTGATGCTCACATGAAAATGTGGCGCTTCAGGCTATTAGGAAAGCATTTGAGAGATATACAAAAGAGAGATTTATTTTAAAAAAATGAATATAAAATTGTCTTTCCCCGCACTCATTTCCTACTAAATAATACTGGCAGCATTTACTTTTTGGAAATGTTTGTGTTACAGATTTAAAATGAAAAACAATACATTCCTTATGTTTTCTTTTGTAATTCAGCCTTCCCTCAGCCCAACAGAAGCAACTACCTATGCAGAATGAACTTCACTGCATTTTCTCCCTTTTTTTTCAATGAAGTTCTCCTCAGTACTCAAAACCATGGCAGAGGATCCGACAGTGTGGAGATAAGGAGTTTTCCTCTCCAGCTTGGGTGACGGTGCCATTTCCCCAGTGAAATCTGCTTTGAAACAAGGCTGCATTTAAAGGCACACACCCATCAAGCGCTCCATTTCTCATCTTCTGAATCACCTTTCCACTTCCCTTTTTGCTCATATCCTCTCTCGTCCCTTCAGATCCTCTCTGTTGTTTACCTTCTTTTCCTGCTCAACCGTGAGGTGGGACCATTCCCAAATTTTCAGAACAGCCCTCCCCAGAAAACTCTAAAATGCCTGTTTCTGCTATTTTGAACCTGTGAAAAATCACAGAATGGGCTATGCAGCCCCTGTTGTTGTTAGGCTTTTTCTTTTGTTATGGCATCTTAGGGCCTCCAAAAGAGACATCACTTCTTCCAGGGTCAGTGTGGCAATATGCAGAGGTCATTGCCTCCACCAGCACCACTTAGAAGAGGTCGTTGACACAAAAGTGCTATGGAAATAGCTGCAGCTTTAATTTGTTTTCCATTAGAGGCGCGTGCAGGAATCTGTCCTAATGAGAGATTTTCTTTCTATCCCTTTCTGGCACATCACTGTAGCAGCTTATAGATGTTCCGAGGTCTCCTAATGCAGGAATCTATATGAAAGTGGCAATAGATATTATTCTGTTCAACAGTGGAGAAATGCTGTGGAAATGTTCTAAAACACGCTGGAATTAATATTTGATCACTAGGCAAAGTGTGCGTTTCAAATAATTCAGCCTAAAATGAACAGAAATGGGTATTAATGTCTGATGCATTCTCCTGTAAATCACCTCAAATCTTCAATCATCCACATTATATTGGAAATACATATGTAGAAATAAAACATTATTTCATGCCACTGAAGCATTAGCTAAAGTACACCGTTCTCACACTGAACCGAGCTATTTCAATGGCAGACATCACACCTGTCCCCCTGGATACACCAAGCATTCAGACTATTAAAGTCATCCAAGCGGCTGTATTGCATTCCACTCTGCGTTGCACCTCGTAGAGAACGCTGCACTTCTTAAAACCATGAAAGCATTCAGCAAAACAAATACATTGGTTACCAGAGCAGAGACAGCCCCAGAGGGTGAAAGGGCTGGGGAAGAGAAGTACATTTTTGCTGGACATCTTCTACCATGTTCTGGATAGATTGACCTGGCGAGATTCCACAGACAAGGAAAGAAATCCCACTGAAATTTGTCACTTCAGCTTCAGGGTTGATTTTATGTCTTCCAAGTTATAAAGCTCAAAACATGAGCATGGCCCTTTGCAGCCGAGCTAGTCATAGGCCACAACCAGAAAGCCTATGTTTTTAACAAAAAATAAAAAGCCCCTCCATTACAGCAATAGCTGATTCCTAACCAAGGCTTAGCACCAGTGAAATCCACTCCTCCAGTTTGGCTGTCAACAATCCTCTGCCATGACCACCTTTATTTGCTTCCATCTTTCAGTACCAGTATGGACCCAGTACCCAAAGTGCTTTTACAGCCCAGCATGTGTAGCTGCCATATATATGAACCACAGGGAAAGGACACTGTTGTTGCAATATCATAAGAGTAAAGTGAAAATACAGCAATGGGAAAGCAGTGCTATCACACAGAGCTGCACGTGGAGGCAGGAGCAGGCAAATGTCACACATGCAGAAGGTTTAGGTCACTTTCGTGGTAACTGGAGACATGAGATCTTGAAGTCACAACAAGCTTAAGGTACTCAACATATTCAGCAGCCACCCAAGCAGTTGGTTGTTTCAAGGCTCCGGTCTTGAAAGTGGCACTGAGAAGCTGTAATTTGTGTACTTTGCTGAGAGTTTTTAAATGCATATGACATAATCATGTATAGTTCTTGATTATTTCTTAACCATCAGCCAGAGGAAGTGGTCTGGTTTCTGCAGTGTTTGAGCTGATGATCCAAGTTATATCTGATTATACCATATCCACATGATAAAACACAATTTACTGCTGAGTTACACCTTCATAGATTACTACAGAATTAATCTCGCTTTTAAAGATCACTTACAACAGCAGATGTTAGTAATGATTTCTTAACAGACTCCAAAAAATAAACTATGTAAATTGAACCATTTGTAAAGAATTTTTTTTTTCCCCCTACTTCAAGTCTTAATATTTTATATCTCATCATTCGTTTTTCTCAATTCAGGGCTCAACCATTATCACACTCATGTTGTTATTAAAAAACACCTTCCCATTTCTGTTTTCACTGCATCCCGGCTTTCTTAATTCTTCCAGTACCTGTTGCCTTAGTTCAGGAGAAGCATTTTTTGAAAACTCACAGGTTTCTGTCAAGAAATCCAGCAACAGTTCCCCATCGTTGTCCCCTTCAGTAAAGCAGCAAGTTATGTCCATGTGGGATGGAAGCTCATAGATCTTGTACTTCAGCCCAACTGAATCCAGAATCCCTTTGATATTAGCAGAGGATATGAAAGTGCAGAGGTCATCTGTAGGAAAGGAAGAACCATACTTTGTCCAGAGTGTTTCCCAGCCACTGGTTTCTGAGAAATAAACCGTAAGAAAAACATTCAGGAAAAACACTATTTGAACAAATTATGACATATTTCTTTTTTCAGCTGTTGTCTGCACTGCAAACTGGGGCTCCCAGAGTTAGGACTCAAGCCATGGGGTACAGTGGAGACAGTTGCTCCCTCTGGAGTGGGGCTGTGGGAGACAGGGGACATTCACCAGCTAGCATATCCAGCACCTTTTGGTTCTCACAGTCTTCCCTTTCCCATGTCCAAAGTGTTCCAACTCTTTTCCACCTATGTGTGCCAATGCAATGGCCTGTGTCTCCCAGGGACCTTCTTCTGTAGTCCATGTATTCAGCTATTCAGTGATATCTTCTTGAATTAAACCATTCTCTACATTTCTGTGTCCATTTGGAAGACCAAATCCTCCCCCATTCCTTCATCCAATTTACTTACTTGATTGATCTATGTGAGAGCTTCATTAAAACACCTCTTGACAGTAAACTATTTACCTGTTGCATTAAATACACAGGGTGCAAAGCCCTGGTCACATTAACCATGCAGTTAGACACATGGTAGAGAAAATTATTGTAATAGAGCCTGGAATGAAGCTGCACCATCTTCCTTCAGCCTTCACTCCCACCATGGTTACACACTGTGGGGTATAGGCGGCATGCATCCCAGGCAGTCCTCCCAGTGGTGCCAGAAGGATGTTTAGGCTGTGTCTTGTTTGTGCTGTGCAAAGATTTCAGGGCTGTGGTTTAGTGGGGATGGTGATGTTGGGTTGACAGTTGGACTAGATAATAATAATATTAATGGCCTTTTCCAACCATTATGATTCTATGATGATGGGGCAGGTAGGAAAAGACTCCTGCAATCACCTGCAGAAGAGCCCACACTAAGTCCCCCCTCTTCTAAAGATACGTTTTACGAAGAAAACCAATGGGGTAATCTGAAAACTCCCCAGATACATCTTCATTTCTTTGTTTTCCCTCATCCAAGATCTGTGATTCAGCATTTCTGCTATAAATCATTTATAAAAGGATCACCCAAAATGACTGGACAGGATGAAAATACCTTTGAGCCTAATGAGCAGCTCTTGAGAGTTATGACTATAAATCTCCCTAACTGCTAAAACCAGTTGCTTGGCACTTTTGCAAATGCTTTATCTGCAAGCAGTTATTTATAGTCAAATAAACAGTTTGGTGTTTAGAAGGGCTTCGATATTTTCTTTCACCTGGTGGAAATTGAATGCAGAGCACTAATAGCAGAAAATTTGCTGGTGTCAGTGTTGTATGACTCGGTGCCATCTCCGAGCTGAGCAATTATACACTACCTGAACAAAGCATTATTATAATAGCTCTCGATAGGCTCAGCATATGGCACTACTTTTGTTTTCAAGGTGATGTAAACACATTTTTAAAATGTGTTAAAAATAACACCATACAGCTCTTGCAACTCGCTTGCTCTCCCAGCAGGGATGGAACAGGCGGCATTGCAACCTCCACCGAGTGACCGAGCCCTCTGCTATCAATCCTATTCCCAGAATGTTTTTTAATTAACACATCCTAATGTGTTTGTGTTGGAAATAGCACTACCTTCTTTTTTTTTTTTTTTAAATGAGCTTTGTTCTGCTTATCGTTCTTTCCTTCTTTTTGCTTCAATTCTCCTTCCTTTCTCTATACAATTATTTTCCTCAAGGTTTTCCTTTCCCCCAGCATTTTCCATTCCACTTTCTGACCTCTTCCTGTAGTCTACACATTTCCCCAGACACAGTGCCATGTCCCAGTTTAGTGAGACTAATTCTGATTCTCAGAGGAACCCTATTCACTAATTGCACCTGCAGAGGAAAGAGCTATTACTGGGCACTTGTGTTTGTAACTTCCTCTATCTGAACACAAAACAGTTGAAATTATTTATGCAATCATTGGGCATCGTGTGTTGAAGGTGTGAGGAGGAGAAACAGGAGGAATGAGACAAGGAACCACCTGGCCCAGGAAAGATTCCCAATAAATTTCATAAATTCAAATTTTTAGTGACATTGATTTTGAATAGACACACGTTCCTCCCTGTATTCACATTTCATGAACATCAAAAGTGACAGGTTAAGCAACTGAAAAAGAGTTTCAATGATAGGCACTATAACTATAGGCAACTAATTAGCAATGAACTGATATTATTATTGTTACTCAAAGAACAATAACATTAACTCAGATCATCTGAGATACAGATGTCTTGTAGCAAAGTGCTTGAAAACACTCTAAAGCAAAATTGTTTTGCAGAAAAACAAGTCAGAGAAGTGCAGTTTCTCTGTGGAAACTTCATGAAGGCAAAGAAAAAAGGGAACTCCATCAAATACGTTTCAGTTTGAAGATATAGCCAAATTCAATGAAATCACTTAAACCTCTGAGGAAAAAAACCAAAACAAAATGCAACAAAAAAAACCCCACTGACTTCCACCTAAAAGAGCTTTAAGGAGACACATAGTTTGAAAAGAAAATGAGCCACATGTGCTCCAACAGCTGCTGTACAGTACAAGCTGAGCCCTGCCCTACCGTTTGCTTAATGCTGCACATCTCCAGGAGCAAGACAATGCCTTTGGCATTGAAAACCTTTGGCAGAAAACAGCTGCAGCAGAGTTTGAAGTGGCTCTTACTCCATCACTGGCAGAGCTGCAGGACAGGGAAGAGAAGAAGGTGAGAGAAAGGTGTTTTGTACCCACAGAATGGGCTTACTGGCTCACAAAGCCTTCAGCTTTCACAATCTGCAGCAAGGAGCTGTGCAGGTACAGATACAGATGTGCAGGTACAACGTACAGATTTCTGTAGATGCAGGTGAATGGGCATTGTTTATTCTAGTTTCCCTCTATAGGCAAAATAACGTATTGCATACAAAAATACATACTGCTTTCTGGGAATCCCAGAGGTCCCATGGCTTCTACCCTACTGAACATGTCATGGAGCAGCTCTCACCTGACACCAGAATGATGAGGAGCTTTGCTTGTGCATCCAGGAGGCTGTGGAAGTACTGGATAATTGCAGGGATGTCTTTCACATAGTACAGCATCTGGGAAGAGCAGAAACACAGAGACATGGTGAGGTCCTGGAGAACACTATAACTGGTACCACAAGGTAAAAGGAACCAACAGGAGCAACCCTGGTCTTCTCTCATTACTCCCCCACACCAAGCTCATGTTTCTTCATTAATCTGAGTTGAAAAAGCTTGCCTTCCTTAGCTGTGAGGAGAGCTTGTCACGGCTTTGGTATACTTGGAAACATAAAGGCAATTTCACAGAGAGGACAAGGGACTTTGAAAATGCTAGTTACAATGTGTTTTCAGTTGACTGCTGCCCGCAGCCTGGTAAATAGGACCACTGTGCTAAAAGCTGCTTTGCTGTAAGTCATCTTTCATTTCTGCAGTTTACTTCTGCTTAAGTACTTTAAATTATAGGGAAATAAACTCACCTTTCTTCCCCCAGAGAGGATATTGAAGTTGCTTATCTCATGCTTGCTTTTAACAGCCAAATCTTTGACAACTTTTATGTTGCTAACTTTTACCTGAATCATGTGAATGAAGTCCCATTTTTGAGACTTCTTTTCTGCCTTCATTCTCCTTTCATATTCATTAGCTGTCTCCTCATGCCAGGTAAACTTTACATTGTTGAGGTTTGAGGTGGCAGCCACACGTTCTGAAATATGGGAGAAGACAGGACAGAGTTAACTCAATTACAAATATGGGATTAATCTATATTCAAAGCCTTAATACATCCAGAGTCATGTTGAAGGTTTTGTTACCAATTTAATACAGCAATAGCATTCTTAAAATCTTGAACCTCTGTGTGAGAAGAGAGCTCCGCATCTTTGTAAGGTGAAGTCTTTAGAGTCTCTGGTGTTTCCCCTTTGCACCTTCATTTGGTTTCCCCTAGTCTTTATCTGATAGAAAAAATAAAAGAAACTCTTTCACACGGCTGGTTCAAGCTGCATTAAAAGATGTTGGTTGGGACAAATACCAAACGAGGTCCCTTCACTGGGGTGTCATGCAACACTCACATGGCAGAGCAGAAGCCAAGCTGTGCCGAAGGGTTTCCCAGATCTGACTGAATAAATACAGGAACTTAAGGATGGAGGAATAGATTCAAAGCATAAGTTACACTAATGGGCTTGGCTCCCCACGGCATTTTGTTGCTTTCATAGGAGCAAACTGTGGGATGATTTTTTATTTGAGGAGACGCTGGAATACAAATGTCCATCTGCTGGCATATGGAGCTCATCTTGCTGTGCTCCTGCTTAGGGCTTAGAACTGCTCCAGGACAAAACTAGCCCTGATGCAATTCCTGTGCTTCGCTGGAGTTAACATAAATTTAAAACTTAAATGGCCCAAAGGCAGACTGAGCCTTAGCTACAGAACACATGTTCAAAACATGATTTGCTAACACCAGTGCCTTTACAGTGCTAGTCACAATGTTCCTCCTTTGGGCTGTGGTTAGGATAAATCCCAGTCAGACAGATGAGAAATGCTCCATCAGTTCTTATCTCCCCTCTTTTATGGCCAGAAATGGGGCATCCCTTTTGGATGCTGCTGCTGTAACTCTGCTTGCTTCCATTTATCAGTCACTGGCCATAGCACTTGCAGTTCAGATTTAATTTGCTGTTTTAAACTTGGGCTTCCTTCAGCAGCGGTTCATATCACCATCACATGCAATCTGGTGCAATCTGCTCCAGTTCAATTGCTATGCAGTCTGCAAGGAGACACTGGGAAGGAAAGTGAATTGTGTGCCTAGGTTGGTTTTAAAGGCAAAATTTCAGAAAGGACAAACTCATTCTGATTATGGGAAGCTTTTGCCCAAATATTCATCTGAACCCAAGACATATCACTCTAACCACATAGAAAACTTGCTTAAATTTTATCCTTGTTTCAACCCAGATTGCTTCCTTGGCAGAAGCCACCCACAGGACGTTGACTCATGGCTCTGTACTGGGCTGGCCATACCAGCTTGCTCAGGATACCATGTCACACCATGTTGCTCAGGATATGAAACCAAAGCACAGGCCATGGTCATCAAAGGGCTTCACCCCGACACAGGCCAGGAATGAAGGAAAGCCTCTGCCTGGCCACAAGACTGTGAGAAGAGACTCCATCCAAAGACACTTCCTAAGAGGAAGCTCAGTTTGTCACCACCGCAAGTCCCAGGAAGAAAGTTTCTCTTGTGAGCTTGGCTTCTCCTTTCCAAGGAGAAATGGTTAGGCAGAAAACAGAACTACGGAATCCTCAGAGGCACAGATAACATTTCTAATTCTCCGTGGAAAAAAGAGCTCAGAAACTTAATTAATGATACCTACTGGGGACATGATTAATTACCAAATAAGAAAGTTTAAAGAGAGAAATTCAGATGAATATTTCATTTCTAGTTTAGCATAAAATGTAAAATAAGGACAGCATCTTATATTTTCTTTAACTTTCTGCAGGAAAGAAACTCACCAAAATGGAACAGGATTGCCTGTTGGTGGTAGAAGGTGAATATAGGAATATGCAGCTCAAACTCAGCCTCATGTAGGCTATGGTCCACTGCCCAGATAGGACAGCAGAGCTATGTGCTAGTGCCCAGACTGTCTGATAAACACAACAAATTCTGGTGCCCATTCTTCACCATCTCAATCCTGACAAACATAAAAGCTACTGGGAAATGATCTTTTCAGAGATCAGGTCCACAAGATATGGAGACAGGTATCAAGGAATGATGCATTTCTGGGGATTATTGTTTTTTTCCACCTTCATATTCCTCAATTTGCTTCATGGTTGGAATGCTCTTTTTTAAAGAACCATAGCAAGAGTAAGAGTTGAATATTTACATTGCGGTTTTATAATCTGCTATTTACTAGAGGAGCATTTCCAGTAAGGCAAACTGCTGATGAGATTTGCATGTTAGCACCATGTTCATTCAGCAGCAGCTTTCTGGCAAGGCCATAATTACCTACTAGTAAAGCCTGGTAGGTGCTAATCCAGCAATAAACCATGAAGGTAATCAAACTGCAGACTGATACTTAATGCTCAGTAATGCTCAGGGCAATCTAAACAAAACATACCTGCTTGCACTCTGTCCTTGTGAAATATTTTGGTTTCCTCCATTAATGTGAGCCAGGCTGCCTGACTGGTGGAAAGTAATGAACTTTGCAGTGTAAGAGACAAAGGTTTTTATGAGAAAATGAATGCTGAAAAGCAAAGAATGGCAGGGAAGCATAAAACAATGACTTTCATAACTTTTAAGAGCCAATTTTCTGGCAAGAAAGACTTTGAATGTGGGGTCATCCAGAATTCAATTCTTTTTAATGCATTTAGAGTATTCAATGTAATTTTAATTTATTTAATGACAAAATACCTTTGTACTTGAGGATTTGATCAGCACTTGGCTCTATCACCTCATTGTTGATGGTGACACCTGGATAACTGGCTTGCACAGCTGAGATGATCTGCAGGTCAATCTCACCTAGGGAAAGAGGCAATATTGCACAAGAGATGAAAGCAAAGTTCAGGTAAATAATGTCTCCAGCACCACAGAGCTCCAGCAGTGCCCCTATTTTAAGTCTGATGCATGACATTTAGGTACAGAACATGTACCACATAGGTATGGTAGTGCACGGAGCACAGAGGTGCTCTGAATTCTTAACAGATTGCCACTGAGGGCTTTGCTCTAGCCATTGCTCTTGGCCACCTCTCCCTGTCCACCATATAGGAAGCTCAGGGAGATGATGCTCTTGACTGAGGGATGATTTATGGCTGGTTTGAATGGCTTTGTTAGGGCATACTTCTGCTTATTCTGCTAGAATGTATGCAGGTGAAAAAGACAATAGAGAAATAAACAGATGGAGCACAATGTAATGCGTACACAGGAGCTCAGCCCATCACATGGTCCTCCACTTTGTGAGTCCAGTTAACCACCAAGAGCTCTCTGCCACCTTCTGGCCCCAGGCCATGGGTCAGAACAAGATACTCCAAACCAAGGGTCTCACATCTCATTTAGACCTCAAAAACTTAACAGAAATACCTAAGGAAGAATACAACACTTTCAGACTTGTGAGTCTTTCATAAAGCAACTAATAACACCAAAATTTACTTGACATCTTGGCTGGTAAGTTCTTTGAGGGAAGGGAAATTTAATTTCCAAAATAGCATAAATAGCTGTGGCTTTGCTATCACTGCACACCCAGTATTTCGTTGGAAAATCAGAGCTAAGTCATTTGCAGGCATCCGTGGTAAACTCTGGAAAAACAGAATTTGTAAGTAACTACTGCAATTGTTTGTTTGTTTTGGTTGGTTTGCCAACTTCCTATAAAATTGATTATCCCTTTGAAAAGGCTGTGCAGATCAGAATTTAAAAAAAAAATTAATTTAAGTTACCATATGTGAGTAGGTTAACATATCCCCTTCCACTCTTCTGTGGCTAAACCACCCCTGTATTGTTTTTAACCAAAAAAGCACCACTTTGATTCATAACTTAATCCACAGCCTTAATTGACTTCAGTTAGCTCTTTTATATGCAAACAAGTGTCCTGAGGCATTTTACAGTCAAATTTGCAGCAGCTTGCATTATCAACAATTTGGCAATTAGGCTATCCGAATTATTTAAACTCTCCAACACAATTACCTTTTAAAGGCTACCACTATGTTCGCCATTAAGTTTCTAATTAAACATTTTACGTAACGGGATAGTTTATAGCACAGTTGCTACTTTATTGCAGCATTGATGACTTTTATGGTTTTTAAAGGTACAGAGTGCTGCGCACTGGAGTGTGAACTTAATAAGGCAGAGGCTGTAGGCAAAGGCAGATGCATTAGATGGGCAAGGGTAATGGGATATGATGCTGCATTAAATGGTTTGGTTTTTTTTCTCACTGTGGAGAAAGTTCACAGGACATGAAGAAGTGGGGAAAAAAACCTTTTCCTTCAATGCTGCCTCCCTGTGAAGTATAGGGGATGAGGTCACAGATGCTGGCATTAGGTTGGGGATTGGAGGGAGTTTGCTCTGTCTGCAGCAGGGACAAGCTTTGGGTCAGCCTTTACGTTGCAAAATGAACATTGACACATTATTGACTGAACACCTTCCTCGCTAAACTGGAGTGCCCCTGATTAAGTAATTAAGCACCTTTCTAATTGAGTAAAGTGTTCCTGTTACAAACAGCATTTTATTGGCAGACGAGTGGTTTCCTTTGATTGGAGAGAAATGTTTCTGCTCTATCACACTATTTTCTACTTAACACTCACCATTTATATACAATTATTTTTACTTATTAGAAGAGATCAACAAAACTCAGATTAATCCCTGGAGATAGTATGACCGAAGCATTTAAATAAACTGTTCATATAGTCTGATGTCTTAATGGGCTGAGCAGAATTAGGAAATATAAACTTTAATTAAGAAGGAACTTAAGCAAGAACATAATGAAAAGAAGCCACTGTGTGCTGTTGGTATTGTTTTTCCATCTAGTTAACTTCAGCCTTTTTCTTCTGATATTACAGATCACGGTGAAGCCTGGGCAGCAGACACCTACACCTGCAGAAGACTGAAATCAAACTGACCAGGAGCACCGTGTCCCCCACATGGCTGTAAGGTGCCAGTTAGGGCAAAATGGGACAAGTATAACAAGGGAGAATAGCTTTAAACTAAAAGAAGGGAGATTTGGGTTAGAATTTCTTTCAAAATTTTTTACTCAGAGGGTAATTTTTTACTCAGCTGCCCTGAGCTGTGTGAGTGTCTCACCCCTGGAGGCATTCAAAGCCTGATTAGATGGGATCCTGAGCAGCCTGATCTGGTATTGTCAATCCTGTGCATGGGATCTTTAAGGTCCCCTCCAACTTAAGCCATTCTATGATAAGCACATGCAGGTAAGGCTGGAGGTGTCCCCAGCTGTGCCATTAGCAGATGGCAAACCGGAGGAACATGTGATGGTGACTTGGGTTCATGTTTGGCCCTGTTTTTTCGAGGGGCCAGTAGCTGCAGAAGGGGCTTGTGCAATGGATGTGGACCATGAGAGTTTACAGGAGAAAGTAATTGAAAGGAAAAAAAAATCCTCTGAAAGACCTAACTTATGCTCTTGAGTTAGGGTTTTTTGCATGGAAAGCCAGTGGGCAGTTCAAACCTTTCTGTCCTCAAGAAGTAATGTAGCAGAATGAGAGTTCATTCGCCTCTTCCAGACGACTTTTTGAGAAAAGCCTTTACTGCAATTTGTATAAAAGGGTAAAAACATATCAATAGTGAAGCTGATAGCATACCTGCTCCACCACCGACACTTAGAATATTGATTGCAGACTTCCCGCTTCCAATACTGCAAAAACAATTACAGATGTTAGGAGAGCTGACACCAGAGAGATTTACACCCACTATACAAAGCACCGTGCCCTGTTAGCTTACCAGCCCTCCATTACCTTGCCAGCAGGCCTGGCAGCTGCTGCTCCACAAACTGCTTCATGGTCTGGTGCTCAGTAGACTTGGCCAGGAAGACATGGAAGCAGCGGACGTAGCGGCTGAGGTCTGTCAGCAAGTTCTTCATTGGGGACCCCATGATGGATCCGGGAGCTGCACACAGCAGAGAGGGAAAAGAGCTCTGCTCCTATATCTGGTGTCTCAAACCAATTACCGGGGATGGTTTGACATATCCCCAGAGAAAGGTTTAGGCAACAAATGAGGACAAATGCTATCCAATTGATTTAGGACAAATTCTAAGCAACTAAGGAATGTGGGGAAGATGGGGAAACTAGCAGTAGTAAAGAGAGAAATCCTAGCAAATGCTTTACAAAGCAGGGATAGTCACCACTAGGGATACAGCAACGTCTTATGGTCCGCAGGGAGGCAGCAAGTTGGTTAGCAACATCTTGTTGACTTGCTCAATAGTTTGGCAGAGGGAGTACTCATTCTTCCTTAGAACATTTTGGGTTTTTATTCTTTTCCAAGCATCTTTTTGATTGCCAGGCTGAGCAGTTGTTGGGTAATGGGCTGTTGATCATGCAATTGTTGCATGGTGGGCTGCTAGGTATGCACACTGACTGCATGGTAGTCATCTCCTCTGAGATCACCCCCATAAGTCAGCTTGAATGCCTAAAAGAAACATCCAAAAAGCTTTCTCCTTGTCCCTCAGCCATATACGTTTATCTTGCCACTGTGCTTATGGTAACCATTAACCCCAAAACTTGTTGAGCAGGTTATGTCTCAGATGGGTGCTGAACAAGCTTTGAAGCAATAATCGCTCCAGCTTCTTATACTTGGAGAAGGAAAAACAAGCTATGGATTGGTGCTAGATATAAGGGTTTATCATGTGGGTGCGTGGTTGGGTGGCTGAATGAAGGACTTTGCTCTTGTCCATGTGCTGTTTAAAGTGCATTGCGGAATGTTGCAATAGAAGACATAAATCGGAGCAGCAAATGGAAATATATTATTGTTAATCTCCATGCCAGCTTTTTTTGGCTTTACTGACACAACCACAAGCCAGCAGTAGGTCTTCAGATGCTTGTTAAATAGAGAGAAGCTCCCTCATGCCTTGGAGGCATGGAGGGCTCAGAAGGGCTGGGCTGGGTTAGCAGAGTGCAGCACGTGTCTCCAGAGATGCTAGTGGATGCCTTTATTGCTTTTTTTGAACCTTTTGATGTTCTTAAAGGGGATGTTGGGGGTAGGGTTGGAAAAAAAAAACAAAACTGTAAAAACGCACGCTGTATTTTTTAGTCCATGTGAAGATAATGGCACAATTCCCACAGGCAAACTAGAGCTTTCCTGAAAGCCACACAGGTTGATGGGATGGATGTCAAGAGCCCTGGAGCTGGGGCAGGCAGCATGTTTCCTGGACACAGCAGGAAGGACTGAAACCATAGCTTGTATCCATCACATCTTGTCCTCAGCAGGAGGAAGAGGAGCCCTGCTTCTCCCTACAGGCACCTTGCAAGGGGCCCTGCCTGTGACTGCCTTTGCTCCCCGCTTCCCCCTTCTGAACCTCACCGGTTATTTTTATTATTCTCACTGGACTTCTCTTGTTTCTTCTCAATGATAACAACAGCTGCCAGGCTTTACTGGCTGTCTTTTCTGCTGGTGCCAAAAATAACGTCCAGCTCATGACACATGCTCTTTTTGCATCCCAAGAGCTGCAGCTCTGCACGTCCCAGAGGCTCTCACAGGAGGCATTCCCACTATTCCTCTTCTTCGAGGAACCACATGCTGCTGCCAGAGCCCAGGCACAGGCTGTACTGTGCTGCTTGCTCAGCCAGAACAACTCCTCCTAAGGACAGCCACCACAGCAGACCCCCACCTTGTACCTCATCCCCTCTCACACAACAAAGATACTTTCTAGGACAGAATAGAAAACCAGATGAAAAAGATGCTGGAAGAACATGAGAACTTTGCTCGGTGCCAAGTGCTGGTTGGCACAGCACTGGAATGTGATGGGACCCCTGAGCAAAGAGCTGCCAGTCTGCCCTGTGTGAGAAACAGGGAGCAGCATCCCCGTTTACCTGGCTGTCTGTCAGCTCACCTCTTTGCTTTTTGCTTTCATTTCACAAAGAAGCTTCATTGCGTGCTGCTAAAATATTTTACAACCTTCAATCTTGAGAAAATATTTTGCTCTTAATGAGAGGAGATTGAGACAATCAACATTTCTTGTCCAGCTCTCTCTGCTTCCTGTGATTCAATTTGCCCACTCCTGGCTCTGCAGCCTCTAACAAACAGCTGAGATTCATTTTCATGTTATGTGCACTTCAAGGAATTTGTCTCATTTATTTCATTATGTTTTTGGCTACCTGAATTTGCCCCATCTACTTCATTATGCGTTTTGCAGTTTGAACCGCAGCTAGTGAACTTCAAAAGTGAGTTAAAAAAAGAGAGAGGGACAGAGAGAGGAAAGGATTGGGATTTGGGGGTCAGATTGCTAGAAATTGATTTCTAGAAACTTCTGGATGTTCATTTGGGTTTCCCTTTGCAGGAGGTTTGGGACTTGTTAGTAGGGGATGGTGCTAATGGAGGATGCCAGTGCAGCCATTGCCCGTGCCTGGTACTTACGTGATGGGACTCAGTGAGCAGCAGCTCCCTCGGTGCTGCGTAACGTCACTGTGGTGTGCTGCACTGCCTTCCTTTCTGTGCCTTTGGTCCCACCCCAGGACACGACGTTGCAGCTGGGAGGAGGTCCTGGGATGTGATTCTGGGCTGCAAACACTGCGTGGGGAGAACAGAGGAGTTTGGCTGCAACTCACACACGTGCTGTCCCAGATCACCGCTGTGCACAGCCCAGCTGGAAAGGTCAGGGAAAAAGGGAGAGAAAGGGAAAACAAAGTCAAACCAGGTTCCTCTGACCTGTTCCAACACTGCAGCTGTGATTCTCTCTCTGTGTCTATGTGTGCAGTTTCTCTGAGACATCTCTGAGCCTTTCTCTGATTCTGTAGGGGAGATTTAGGTCAGGTGTTAAGAAGAAGGCTGGATGTGGCTCTGGGCAGTCTGGTCTAGTGGATGGCAACCCTGCACCCCTGCATAGCAGAGGGCTTGAAACTAGATGATCATTGTGGTCCTTTTCAACCTAGGCCATTCTATGAAGAAATTCTTTACTCAGAGGGTGGTGAGGCCCTGGTACTGCTGCCCAGAGCGGTGTGCTGCCCTTCCCTGGAGGTGCCCAAGATCAGGCTGGATGGGCCCCGGGGCAGCCTGAGCTGCTGGGGGAAACCTTGCCCTCAGCAGTGAGTGAAACTGGATGATCAGTAAGGTCCCTTCCAACCCAAACCACCCTGTGATTCTATGATCTCTGAAGGTTCTGGGATCCAGCCTAAGCTTCCTGCTTCACAAGGCACTTGGTACATGGTCAGAGATCTAGCAACACATTGATGGGGGCTGAGGTGACCAAGAGTCCTCAGAAATTGGAAATGGCTGTCTCAGTATGCAGCACGTGGTAACACACAGATTTATTTACAGTTTGCCTACAGAAACCTATCGTTATAGATTACTTTGCTTTTATGTACGCTTTTCTTGCAAGCAGCTCAGATTTTGCTCATCCCTTATTTTCAAAGGCTTAAGCACACTATTTTCCATATATATCCACTATTTTCACAGACTTGCTAGCGGTGGTTTTAATCCAGGGAGTACAAGGGCAGCGGACCCATGCCTGTTATCACACCGCAATTTGGTGTAGATAGCACTGATAGCATACAACTCATATTATTCACTATTCCTTCACATTTGAAGTTAAATGAACAAGGTTTGCTCCTAGACTTGCAGCGAAAAAATGAACTGTTCACGGAGGAATGAACTATCTGTGTTGTAAAGGACATATCAAATAATACCAGTAATATTAATAATCCTACTTTCAGAGATGCAGTCACAGGAAAAAGAGACTGCAATGTGACATTTAGCCAATAGTTTATCAAGATTAAAAAAAAAATAAATCACATTATCAGTTGCAAATGCTGATTGAGCCACTACTGGGAACTGTGCTATTTTCTTGCTGTATTATCCCTCTGCCCATGCAGGGCAGCACCTCCAGAGCACATGCAGTGAAGCACCCAGCACCCAGCAGCACAGGGCCCTGCAGCACACCGCCTCCATCCACTTCTCTCCTTCCTCCACACCTCAGAGCAGCTGCAGATGGACCAAATATCCACTCCTCGAGATGCATGCATTTGTTGGGCTCCCCTCTGGGTCTGATTTAATCACGCTCAGCCCCATCGATAACAGCGGGAGCGAGAGCATCGCTTAATGTCCAAAGAATTATTTCTGCTGTCTTCTAATAAAGCACGCTGATGTAGGCAGGAGTTGATAACACGATTGCTGTGCTAGGGTAGCAAAATCTCATTTTACAGGACAACTGAACTGTCAGTGCCAAAGAGCAGACAGGTTATTGCTCATGCTCCTCCAAGGCTGCTTTTATTAAAATGGAAATTTCCAAAGCTTTGCATGCACACACAGGCATTGAAGTCCCTCCTGGGGCTGGTCACAAGGCTTTGAGGATTTTCTCTCCCTCCCCAAGCACCATGTAGACATCACCACCTTACACCAGACCTGTTACACGCTGTGTGCCTCCCACACCATCAGAGCAGGTTTCCTGAATGTGAGGCAGCAAGGCATCAGCTGGGCCCAGCCAGGGGTTGTGCACATTCAGTTTGAGACTGGGGAAGGGACAGGTGTGCCCCCACCTTTTCTCCAGCACTCAAACTGCTGCTCCAGGGCACTCCTGATCCCTAACACAGCACAGATGTGGGGCAGCAACTGCACCAAACCCAAATCTAGCTACCCAGAGCCATGAATTCAACAAACACGTCACTCAACCTTCCTCAGTACTCCTGGGAAATAGAAGTAATTTTTACAAATGTGTGCCTTGCTTGAAATCATTTTGCTTTTTTTCCCCCTCCCCAAAATTAATTGAATCAAAGATTGTTTGTGAAATATCTCATAATGGAGTGCTCCCAGCTGCTGGCTCATAATTAGTGAAACAAATCAGTGCTCTGTCCCCAGACTGACAAAAAATATATTTACAGAGTATTTCAATAAGAAATTTGAAACTGAAATTCTTCAATTAATATTGGAAAGCAATTTCAGCTCCCAAAGGCTGGTCAGGGGGCTTGTTGTTGAGGCCATGTCAGGAGGTGATGGAGGGTGCTGTGCACCTTCACTGCCTCATATCCTCATCAGAAAGAGCCGGTGGCAAGCGGTGGCATTAAAATCATGTGCAGCTCTCATCCTGCAGAGATGGCATGGATGGAGTAGATCAGAGAGCCTCTGCCTCACACCACACCTGAGCAGCTCACAGCTCACTTTTTGCTGGGACTTTAATGCCTGCCAAGAAGCCAGTTTCTGAGCTGGAGGAGCGTGAAGGACTCGACAAAGACCTGGCTGATGTTACGGATGTCATGGGAGAACAGAACTGTGCCAGGGAACATGAGCTGGGTTTTTGCAGGCATGGATTTTTGAAAGCAACAATCATTCATGATAAAAATGCTGTTTTTAGAGCATTCTGCCCTAAAGGTGCAGAGGAGAACACCTGGTGCTATGCTCACCGGGCACAAGCCCTCCCCAGCTTCACCAGGGTGCTACCTGACCATAACAACATCAGATCTGAAAGATCCTGAGTTTCTGCATCATTAACACAACCAGCAGTTGAACGGGAAGAGCTTTCTTCTGTTTGGATGCAAACATACCACATCAGCACAGACATTTCGATGCGAGGAGCCCAGCTGCGTTGGTTTAACTGGGCTGCTGCCTTCAGAGCATTATTTTGACAACTGAATATTCTGCTCTCATCTCCTTGGTGTGTTTCACATTCCTCCTAAATCTCTCTGCTTGAAGTGTAATATTTTCATGTCATTCATATCTCTTCCTGTGGGAACTTGCGATAAGCTTTGGAAACGGCTTAGACACACACACTCCTCTCAGATTGCAGTAGCCTCGTGCAACTCTCAGACTTGAAATCTTAGCATTAAGATCACAATAAAACCGTGCATTAGCAGCACTTAGACGTCTGTAATCCTTCGTTTGTGCTGAAGCCCAGCATTTAAATTACCCTGACTTGCTAAAAACTTACCTCCCTACTTAGAGATACTGTCCTCCATAGAGGTCTTCAAAGATTTTCTGATCCTGAGCACCTGCTCTGTGTGTCCTTGCTTCAGCAGGGTTTGGACTAAATGGAATCAGAAGTCCTCACCAACTCCAACCCTTCTGGCAAAACCTGTTTTCTTATATTCATGCTCTCAGGCTCCTGTTTGAGGATGGAGGTGGCCAGTACCATTTATTCCCACTGTGTATCTGCACAGCACTGAGCCTGCTCACCACTGTAGGCACTGCTACTGTCAGAACCTATGTACATGCATCTCATATGCAACCTATGCACACCCCTACACTCCATACCAAACTCTTGCCTTTATCATGGAATCGTAGAATCATTTGAGTTGGAAGGTTCCTTAAAGGTACCTAGTCCTACTCCCCTGCAATGAACAGGGACACCTACAGCTCAGAGCCCTGTCTAGAATAACCTTGAGAGTTTCCATGGATGGGACAACCACCACCTCTCCAGGCAACCTGTGCTACTTTGTGCCATATTGTAAAAAAACAAAAACAAAACAAAACCAACTTTGCCCTTTTATCCAGTCTAAATCTCTCCTCTTTCAGTTTGAAACCATTTCCTCTTGTCCTACCACAACAGAACCTGCTAAAGAGAGTGTCCCCGTCTTTCTTACAGCCCCTTCAAAACAAATTCAGAAGCACAAAACTAACTGTGTTTAGGACTGCATAACTTCTGAGAAACTGTTGCAAACCAGAGATATGAGAAATTATCTTACTTCTCTAAAAATGCCAGATGTGGTGGGCAGCTACTGTCACATACAATTAGATGCTTGCATGCTGTTACACAGGATGGAAAGTGAGATGAGTGCTGACCTGCCAGTCCTCAGGTCTTTGTGCTTTGCCTTGGCTTTGTGAATAGCCATTCCTTAAGCTAAGCTACACTCGTAATGGGGTTTGAACTAGTGTATGAGTTTCAGAGCTGAGCTTACCACTTACTGCCAAAAAGAGTTGCAAATGTGGGATTTCACAGTGAAATATCAGCACACAAACAGCTCTTCCTGGCTAGCACTTATCAGAGGTAGGTGCACAGATCATGCAAAAGCCTTGCAAGTAGCAAAATGTTGCTCAAGCAAAAACATACAAAAGCTGTTCATTGATTGTGCTGTCATTTTTTTTTAATTACAACTTAATTTGGAGCCAACAGGAGTTTCGATTTGAAAGCTCCTCCCTGCAACGTGCTTTAGAAAATGGGTACAGAAAAGGCAATCTTACAGCTGTAAGTACTGTGTGCTTTCAGTCCCTCTGTGCAGAGTTGCTCCCAACTTAATGACTGCCACCTTCACAAGTATAAAGCTGAAGGTGTGTTTATTTGCGTTGAAGTCAGATGGGAAGAATTTTGCTTAGATTTTTGGTTGTTTATCTGCACAAGGAGTGGGGCCTGCAGGTAGCCTCACCACTGGGATGCACCCAGATGAAGACGTCGTCTTGCTCCCCCTACCCCATCTCAAGCATGCACTCATCCCACAGCCATGCCCTCACCTCCTCACTCACCCTTATCTCCTGCAGTGTCTCTGCTCTCTGCTCCCTTCCTGCCCTGGAGATTTGCAACCATTACCTGTAATAAATTTTCACACCGTTTCTATCTCTTGCCTCCATCCAGCTGGTGCCATTGTAGGCAGTTT